CGTAGCATGTCACACCACTCCTACTTTTTGGATGACATTTGCAGTCTGTATATGCCAAGTTCAGGAATATATTGCAGTAACATCTGGCTCCTTGGCAAGCTCAATGACTAACTGCATTGGCAGCTGTGAAATTTACCAGATCTGTCACATGGTCAGGGCCGGCCCGAGCCCTTTGGGCCCACCCCCGGGGCTATGCGTGCGACGCATGCATGGCTCCACCCCTGGGCACACAGTGCATGCGCGACCCCGCCCCCTGGCACTCTGCACACCTCACAGCTGCCATCAGGTGCTGCGTGGCACCTGATGACAGCTCTAAGGGGCACCGTGCAGCTGGGCGCGCGGTGCCCCTTACAGCTGCCATCAGGCGCCCCCCAAAGGTTGGTGCCCCAGACAGCTGCCCGGCTCGCCCATGCCTCATTCCAGCCCTGCACATGGTTAAGTTACTAAGGGGAAGCTTTCCATTCAGTTGGTATTATCCATACATGCACCTTACATTTGTACTCTTTTACAGTGTAAGTACATTCCCCATAGATAGGGCTGGCAGAATTTAGTTCTAATTTTTGTATAACTGATGCACAATATCAAAGTTAAGCTTTTAAAATTTTTACTTAAAAAAGAATTAGCCAACTCACACGCAGCAGCCCACATTTGGGACGTCTACTTGCTGCCATACAGCTGGCAGCCTTGTGCAGGGAAGTGGTAGTGGTATGAGCTGGATCCTGCTCAATCAGTTAAACATAAGGTTTCACCACTTAACTGACTAACTGGGATTTTACATCCCTACTTCCACCCCAGGTCCCACACTCTCCTAGGGACTGCTCTGTTGTCAGTACCAGTCTCCAAATTACGGAACAGGAATTAAGTGCCTTTTTTGATTAAAATAAGAGGCCTTTTCTTATCTTAAAACAGTCTGAAAAATCTTTAAATGAAATAAAAAGTAACATGATGAAAAATAAAAATGATATTCACTCCATTTCTACTTTATTTTTTCTTAAAAATCATTATTTATCGACCATATTAAAATGACTAGCATTTCTGAGCTATTTAACATCCGGCTATGCACTACTTAATAGGCGATGGCTACATGTTAGAGATGTTAAATTTAGATGAATTAACTAATTGAATAGGTTATGTGATTTCCAGCAACTATTTGATTAGTCGATAAGGGTGCCTCTGCCTTTGAAGTCAGCAAGAGCCCTAACTGGGCTCTTATTACATTTCAAAGGCAGAAGCCCAGCAGGGAGCACAGTCCAGCAGGCGACTGACCCCGTGATCCCTGAGGCACCTGAGCCTTTGAAATGAAGAGCCCATGGGGGGCTCTTGTACATTTCAAAAGGAAGCCCCTCGGGGAGCATGGAGACAGCGGGGGATTCCCCCACTGTCCCCGTGCTCCCTGCTGGGTTTCTGCTTTTCAAATATACATGAGCCATGCCAGGATAGTCGACTAGTCGCTTACATCCTTTCTACGTATCCCATTCAGGCCTCGTTTACATATAACTTTTGTACATATAATTAAAATAGGTATAATTATTTCAGTCAGTGTTGTGATTTTTCAACCAAAATAGTTATACTGATACAAATCCCTAGGCCGTCCCTTCACTAGGGACTCAACGTGTTCTTTATTTGAATTAGCTATCTCAAGTTAACTCACTTGATGTAACATTCTAGTGAATACAACACAATTTGTAATTTCCACACGGGTCAGCAGCAGGGATGTGAAAGATTAACTGGTCAACTGGTAAGCGTCACTATAAATGGGTGATGCTTCCTGTTTCAGTTAACCGATAACCAGTGGGGGATGGAGCAGTTTCCTGCCTGCCACAAGCAGACAGCTGCTCCTGCCCCACAGGGAGCCCAAGGGAAACAAGGGCTGCTCGGGCTTCTGGAACAGCCTCTGTCCACAGGAAGACTGGACCCACCATGGACAGGGGTTCCTTAAAGGCAGGGCCTTGCAGCTGGCAGCAGACCTACCCCTAGTGCAAGGCTTGGAGATGGCAGCCAGCCCCAGTACAGACCTAGGGGCAGGAACCCCACGGGCTGGGGGTTGTTCCCACTGGGATGGAGCAGTCCCCAGCCCAGATCCCACTTTAATCAGTTAAACCCTAACTCCACCTAAGGTTTAACCAGTTAACAATTAACTGGGATTTTACATCCCTAGTGAGCAGATCTACTTAAAGACTAAGCTCCCCCAGCATATTAACTCATGGAAAGACTACAAACTGTCTGCACTAGGAATTTATATTCCTAGTGAAGACATAGCTTGTGTTACACCAATAAAAAAGGCCTTTTCCCTCTAGTGCTTATTCTCCTTCCATATAGAGAAACTGTGCCTGTATATGAGAAAGAAGGTAAGTGAGGTAATACCTTTTATTGGATTAGCTTCAATTGGTAGAAGATACAAGCTTTCAGGATTCACAGAGCTCTTCCCTCGCTCACCAATGCAGAACTACACCGTTACAACACCACTGCAAAAATGTTACACTGGGGTATCTATTTCCACACTACCAGAGTTGTACTATTCCAATTTTGCCAGTATAAATAAAGCAGTCTTCTTCTTTCGAATGTCGTGTTCAACACTATATTCTTCGTCAAAGTTGGACGTCCAAGCTCTCCAGTCAGTGAACAATGTTGCTGGTTAGATTGGGAATATTCTCCAATGAGCCAGTGAATTTCCGTATTGGGTATTCCGCAACAATGGGATGCATAGTTTGCGGACTGCCACAATCACAAAGTGGAAATGGCAACAAATGCCACTTATGCAGTAGATAACTGCACCTGCCTGGCCAGTCCTATGCCGGTTTAGGACACACCACAGTTTCTGGGGAAGATCGAAGCCTTTCTGATGAGTGATAGGATCTGACACAAGATGTTCATTTGGGACGTCTACTTGCTGCCATTCAGATCAGTAGCATGATGACAGCCTTCCCATGGCGCAACTGTTACATGTTTCTTGGACTTGTGATATTAGCACTATCCAACTGACATAACTAATGTCATCAACTAGTCACTGAACGACGAATAAAGCAGTACAATTTGTGTGTAGAGCCAACCCCTATATGATTTTTGTTACCCATTTTCCCAGATAGATCCTCTATCTTTATCCTGTTCTCTCAATCGTGATTCCCTAGGAGCAGTCTCAGTAGAGGGAGTACCATGATGAAGAACACTCTAATAAATGAAATATAATGTACTTTAGGAAGATGCTCATGAGGTTATTTCAGCAGCTAAATACCACTAATATAACAGCACAAACAGTTCAAAAAGTCCTCAAACTAGGGGACTTTGAAAATCTTCCAGAAAACACTATAGCTGGGAGACCTGCCAGAAATTGTTAGCTGAGTATTCAGAGAGCAGAGCAATTGTAATAATTTAGAACAGCATTAGTGTTGATACAAGTGGTAACTGCAAAGTTTTGAAGTATGCATCCATATGCCTAGAGTGGGCATATAAAGCTATTTATGCGTAAACTAATTCTATTGCACCAATTCAACCAGAAACAGTTCAATTCCTTAATGCAGACATGGATCGTGAACTGCAGTCATTTCACTTTCTTATGTACTTACAGCAACACAAAACAACAGCACTGTATCCCAAAGTGTTTGTGGCATGAAGTATCATCACAATACAACACCAACACCACAGAAATTCAAAAGTTCATGACCTTTGCCTCCTAAAAATCATCAGACTGGCTTATAAATTGTAAAATTGGAGTTCTTTTAATTTGTCTACTAAGTTTTCAGTCTTTAAAAGATAAACTTAAGTTTTCTGAATGTTTACCTGCAACCACTAAGGCTGGAAACATATCCCAAAAAAGCTGTTTGATCCCCCATAATCAGGAACTGGGGATTTCAGACAAGAAACCAAATATTACAGCACTTGACAAAATTGCAAAAGCTGGCAATATTACATACCAATGCCATATGATACCAACATCATAAAAGATCAGAAAATGTCATAGTCACTGTTAGGGCAAAATGTGCTTCTTTCGCTTACGGTACTTCCTTCCTGGATGAGATGAGCAAAAGGAAACAAAATGTGCTTCTTTCACTTCCTTCCTTCCTGGATGAGATGAGCAAAAGGAAAAAAGAAATTATCCAATTTCTCAGTCTTCTTTCCTGACCCACTGAGTATCAAGGAAAGACCTTGGTAGTTCTACACTTCCCTTAAAGGGTACCTCTGCCTATAAAACCCAAAGCAATCAGAGTGCAGGCACAAGATTTGGGCTCACTATGATGCTAAAAGTTGCTGATCAGCCCATGGGCATCATTTTGGCAGGACTATCACACATCCCCTGCCAGCTCAATGGCCAATCTTGTGCACAACTCTGCCTGGGATGGCCCTTATTCTCACAGATAGGGTGACCATATATCCCATTTTAGCCAGGATATTCCTTTTTTAAGCCCTGTCCTAGCTAACCTGAATTTTCTGGCAGAAGTGGGCATCTGACCCATTTTCTTTTGATGAGTTGATCAATTTGCAAGAGCAAACAGGCCAAATGCCCACTTTTCAAAAAAGTGAGTGTGGTACAGAGGAACATGCCAGTGAGTGGTAGTAGAGGGGGGGGGAGAGGGAGAATCAGGTTTTATACAAGTGTCAGGCAGGGTTCCAGGAACACCAGCCTGGTGGGAGCGCTCAGACAAGCAGCATGGGCCAGCCCCACCCATGGGGGGAAAAGGACTCAGGCCAACCCACTGTGGAGGGCTGTCTTGGGAGATAGAGTCACCCTACCTAGTACTTTGGGGCACCACAGGGCTTAGCAACAGCAGAGATGGGGGAGCGGTGAGTGGACTTCGGAGCCAGCCCCCACAAGTACCGACTCCCGGGGGGGGGGGGGGGCGGGCTGAGCCGTTTGCAGCAGGCACCAGCCTATGCCTAATTGGCCGGTACAGCCCTTTGTGGCGGGAAGACGGGGTCGTGTCGGGGCATGGCGCTGGCCCGTCACACCACGGCAATACCTACGGCACATGAGCCAGTGCCCCGCTGCCCAGGCCACTCCCTACCTTCCTGCGGCTGCTGCCCGGGGGCTGCTCCGAGCTGCTCCTGCGGCTGCTTCTCAGGTAGGTCCCGCGCCTCCTGCCGGCGGTCGCCGCCTCCGGCTTCAGGTGCGCTTGTGTCTCCGCTCCGCCCTTGCGCGCAGCGACCCGGGCGCGCAGCGCCCCGACCGCAGCTGCTCCCGCCTTTTCCTCCAGGGCCCAGGAGCGCCTCAGCCCCAGCTGCAGGCAGAGGAAGAGCGCGGCCGAAAGCAGGCAGAGGCGGAACGCGGAGCCCTTCCACAGCGGCTTCTCCTTGGGCATCCTCGTCCCCCTGCAGCCGCCGCGCCGGGGCGCCCTGGGCGGGAGACGCCTGCTGCCGCCTGCGCAGCCAGTGGGCTGGGCGCCCTGCGCTTGGCTGGCCGGCTGGCCGGGGGGCCCATGCTAGAGCCGGGCGCTGGGGAAGGCAGGCGGCCGCGCCGCTCGGGGACGGGGCGGGGCGCTCCCCGGGGCAGAGCCAGAGCCCGCGGCAAGCAGCCAGAGCGGACGGGCTGGGCAAACGCTCTGAGAGGTGGGGCCGGCGCGGGCATCAGCCACACTCAGGCTGACGCGCCCCGGGACCTGGCTGGAGGGGCGCTGCTAAAGCGGGTGGCGCCGGGCCAGGCAAGCGTGCCACGCCTGCGGGGCTGGATTACCCACTAGGCAGACTAAGCACTGCTTAGGACACCAGCAGAGCAGGGGCACCAAAAATGAGATTTTACGGTATAGGATTGTTTTTATTTTGAATGACATATGGGGGGGCACCATAATCTTTTCAGTGCTTAGGGCCTTTAAAGGACTTAATCTGGCCCTGCACGCCTGGCTGTGGTTCTGTGGACAGGGGAGAGCAACTGCACTTCCTGGCTTTGTGTGTAAGGTGAGGTTTACACCTGTGTGGCCCAGCCACATGGAAGAGGGGTCACTGGAGTCAAGCCCATGGGCAACAGCTGCAGGCGCCAGGGCAGAACAGTCAATGGGACCCCCCCCCACACACACACACACACATTCTTGCACAAGCTGTGCCTACGTGGATAGTCTGCCTGACACTTGGGTGGTGCTGGCTCTGGGGTGGGAGTGTTTCTGGGAGCCAGGAAGTTGCCACTTACCCAAAAGTAGCCAACATGTCCCTCTGGCAGCACCTCCTGAGAAGGGGGCTCAAAGGGTCTCCCTGTGCTGCTGCCACAGGTGCTGGAAATAGGGAAGGAGAGGGTGCTGCAGCACCCCAGGTTTTGGATCTGCTGATCGCTCATGGCTGCCACCCTGGGGTCCTAGCTACCAGGCCCTCTGCTTGGGTGTGTACCTTGCACATTCGCCTCCCATCCGTGATGTCTGCTCCATTTGCAGGGTGTGAGAGAGAACCTGATACACTTATCTGGAATGTGCCAGGTTACAGCCCTTGTCCTGGCTCCTCCATAACCATCTGGTTCTTGGCTGAACTTTTCATAGAATCATAGAACACTAGAACTGGAAGGGACCTGGAGAGATTATCAAGTCCAGTCCCCTGCCCTCGTGGCAGGACCAAGCACCATCTATATCATCCCTGATAGATGTCTGTTTAACCTGCTCTTAAATCTCTCCAGTGATAGAAATTCCATGAGCTCTCTAAGCAACTTATCCCAGAGTTTAACCACCCTGACAGTTAGGAAGTTTTTCCTAATGTCCAACCTAAACCTCCCTTGCTGCAATTTAAGCCCATTGCTTCTTGTCCTATCATCAAGAGGCCACAGAGAACAATTCCCCCCTTCCCTACATCCTCCCCCCTTTTAGATAGCTGAAAACCATTATCACATCCCCTATCACTCATCTCTTTTCTAATCTAAACAAACCCAGTTCCTTCAGCCTTGCTTCATAGCTCATGTTTTCTATACCTTTAATGATTTTTGTTGCTCTTCTCTGGACCTTCTCCAATTTCTCCACATCCTTGAAATGTGGTGCTCGGAACTGGATACAACATATTCAGGTGTAAGTTATTACATCTTTCTTAGAAGTTATTTTTAAGTAAATACAGTGGTTTAATTTTATTTTTCATTTCATGCACTAAAATGTAAGTTTGGAGTATATTACTAATGCACAGCATTGCATGAGTTTGTTTCACACTTGCAGTGCGAAAAAAATGTTTCTTTGGGATATGAACCTTGACTATACCTAGACCAAGAAATCTGGACATTGGCAAAAAATAATTGATTACCCCTGAGCTTGTGTATGACATAATTATAGGACTGTTGGAGTGCTGGAACAGTTTTTATAGTGGGGTGTGCTGAAAGCCATGGGACCAAACTGTAAACCTTGTATATAATGGAAACCATTTCAAGGCAGGGGATGTGGGAGCATTCCTTGTTTCTGGCACCTCAGAGGACTCTGTTGTACCCTAAACTTGGAAGTTTCTGGTTCTGTTTGTTTTCTTGTTCATGTGACCCTCTCATAGCTGCAGCCTTCCAACAATAATGGACTATATGGCTAAACTAAACTGAGTTGTTTTTCTACTTGCTGCTTTTCCCATTTTGCTTCACTTCTCTCAGCAGCAGCAGCTGCCTTGAGCTTTTGACCTCTTCAGCTGAATGTCTTCTGTTCACAGCAAAGAGTAAAAGTGGAACTGGCCTCTGCTGAGAGAGGTGATTGGGAGGGAGCTGCAGCAAGAAAAGGAACACGTACAAGACAAAGAGTTCAACCCCTTTTAGGATCAGGAGGCGAGTGGAAGCAGCTGGATAAAAAATGGTAAGGGGAAGAAGAGATGCAGCAGCCTGGAAAACTATTTGTGGTGAAAATTTCCACATTAGTAACTATGGCCTTTATGTCTCAAGAATAAAACCTCAGGGAGGAACATTTAATGGCCCTATAGGTTCACTCTGCCAATTTGCCAACTTTTTTTGTTTGTCAGCTGCTAGTTTTAAATCACTGACTACCTGCCTCTGATAGGATTCTTATCAAAAGGGCCTAGACCTTGAAAAATACTGATCACATTCACCAGGACAGAGAAACTTGCTTCAAGGAACACATTTTTTGCTAGACCTTTCCCTGTCATTTTGAGCATATAAATAAGGCATCTGTGTGGAGAAACAACATTTTTAAAAACTAGACTGAATACAGTATGAAATATGAATGGTTCACTGGTCCTGTTGTGTTGCTGATTTTTATGATACAAACATTGCAAAATCTGATAGTATTTTTCCTAAGAGTCCCAGTTGCTAGAATCATGAATGTGAGTATCTGCTTTCAGTGAAATAAAACGCCTGTGGTCCTCATGATGGAGAAAAATCTTAAAAACACAAGGTCCTAAAGTGCAAGGACCAGAAGGCACAAAAAGTCACAAATCTTTTAGTATAATCTTGTGATGCTTGAGCCATTAGACATTGATGGTTCCTTAAAATATAAAAAAATGCATACTGAAATAAGGGAGATTTGACAAAGGGAATGTTGTTAAAAACAATGTAGCTACTGACTTTATCAGTTCAGATTTATTTGTTGTTTTTTATCAGTGCACAAGTTCTCAAATCCAGCCACTCTGTCTGTCATCACTCAGCCATAAATATAAACATTGATCTCCTACTACTACAACAATACCAGGCAGGTCATCCTGAGTGTGACTTTTGTTAACTTCAGTTAAAAAGTAGGTTAAGTGTTAGCCAGAAAAGAAAAAAGTAGAAACTAATGTTGGACTATTTTTTTTAATAAAATTTTCTTTTTCATACACACAAACTCACCTATTCCATTTTCTTTGGCTATAAATCTCCCTCCCTCACAAAGGGAGACTAGGAGGAGAGAGAGAGAGACTCAAAATATGGTAGAAATATCAAACAGGGATTGGGAGAAAATGTGTTTATACCAAGGTAGAATACAATGGGAATTCATACACAACCATTAAATTCTCTCTTTCCTCTTTCTTCTCTTTCTTGTTGACCTTCTCTCCACTTTAACAAGAAAATAGTGCTTAATTTTTACTAGAGTTTGCTAAGGCTGAGCTCCAGCACCTTGAGGTTTGGCAGTTCAAACCCCCTAGCACTTCTGGGCTCCTGGCCAGCCTGTCACTTTCTGGCCACCCAGCTCTGAGTGCAGTACTGTCACCACCAGCAGCACAGAAGTGAGGGTGGCAATACACCATACTGTTAACATCTGTACTTCTGTGCTGCTGCTGCTGGCAATGGTGCTGCCTTGAGAGCTGGGCACCCAGCCAATAGCCACCTCTCTCCAGCCAGTTTCAGCCCAAGTATCATTTTCATTACAAAGTAAGCACTGCAAGGAAATTTATATAGTAACTGCCTCATCAAGGATTCCTTTGCAAGAAGGCTTGTGTGAAAGAAATGAAGGTTAAAAAGAAACTAGAATGTAAAACTTCTGAGGCACTGTGTAAAGCAAGGAGGAGGAAGCACCGAAGCATGATGCACTCTGGCTATCCCAAGGTTGTGGATGGTCTTGTGGAGACCATTGCCTGAAAGTGCAGGCTGGAGGAGTTTCTAGGCTACTCTAACCTTCGCTCATGGCTGACAGAGAATAAGGCCTCCCTTTTATGCTGCACTTACAGGAGGTTAATGTGCAGCTGAGAATCTGGCCCATAAACTAACAGAGAGCTGAATGTTACTCTGGAATATTTGTGATAGACTTTCACTGGCAAGAATGAGCCCATGCTGCAGGAATAATTTCTGCAACTATATACATCTCCCAGAAAATTTTAAGTACCCTGAGCAATGCAGGGTAAATGTTCTAGTAATTAATAAGGTTAAAACTAAGAGGGAGTTCAGTGCTTCGAAACATTTGGTATTACATGTAAATTGGATACTATACAGTATTGTGTTGTGTAACAGAATCTCTTCTCAAAATAGTTTGCTTTTGCATTATAAACATGCCAAACTTTAACAAACCATATCCTAATCCAAAAAGTAGTCTGGGACAGCCAATCTGATGCAATCATAAACCATGCTGACAATAGTAACATTGATACCAATTTAATGGCTATCTTATAGCTAATGCTAAACAAAACAAAGAGGCAGAGAGCTCTATCCACTGTAAAGTATTCATGGCTTCCCAAGCCAGGGAGACTGAAGCAGAACATACACTGCTCTGGAGTTAGCTGACCTGCTCAGGAGAAAGGCTGGTTTGGTGTGGAAAATCAGCACTTAAAAAAACAAGCAAGCTATTGTACTGGGGATTTCTGGAGATTACCAAGGGGAAAATAGGGCAAAGGAAAGTCTCTACAGATGAGCTCCCTGCCAATATTTCCATGAAGCCTTTAGGGCTCTTACAGCCACATACCAAAGAGAGCAGCTAACTGGATCTCAGCCAGCCTCTTTCTGGCATTTAAGCTAATAACCTGGTGGTGTTAGAGTTGAAGGGAAGCTTCTGACCCTAACTGCTGATGTCAGCAGTGCTCCTAGGGGTCAGTGGGCTCCAGCAGTGTCACTTTCTCCCCCAGCTATTATTTCTTTGATGAATATATCAAATGGTTCATCTTCTTCCTGCCTCTCAGTCAGTCATAGATGTGCAGATCTCTTTAAGTTGCGCAACCCCTTGAAAAATCAAATTGGAGCAGTCATTTGAGGAAACATAGAGAGGACTAAATAGTTTCTACACAGAAACGTGCAAAATATTCAGATGGAAAGGTG